AAAAAAAAAAAAAAAAAAAAAAAAAAAAAAAACAAAGCTTATTACTGAATCTCTCACCTAATTTTCTTTTTTTTTTGATTCATGTGGCACCGCAGCGCTGCAGAACACCAAAACCTGTTTTAAGAACTAGCGCCCAGAATCTAACCTCACCGCACCACTTCTACCAAAAATAATTGTAATGACCAAAAAAACTATTCAGACACATCCTCCACATGAATTAATACATAACTGTGGTAGAAGCAGCTTTTAAGCCCAGCTCTTCAAATTGTAATATTTGAAAGCTTCAATGTCTATTTGGTGCTGGAAAACTACCCTCAAAAAGCAGATCAGCGCCAAAAGAAAATAATCGAAGTCGCATAGAAATTGAATGCAGACTACTATAACTTGAGAATTTGTGCTTCTTTTACTAAATTCCAAATCAAGCCTCTCACTTACTGAGTTACAATAACTGTTCACAACGAAATCTTACCGTTTACAATCTAGAAAAGCCCGTCTTCGACTGCCAAACGTATACTAACTAAATCATTAGCTTCTGCACTACCAACTTTATTCAGGGGAATTCCCAAACGTTAAAGGACAAAAACAGTTCCAAACTCCAACCCGACTCGTGCTCGTCTACGTCCTAACACATCCCACGAGTACTTCCAGCAGCATTTTAAAATTCCATGTGGAAAACAAAAACAAAAATCTTCAATTTTTCAAAGCCGACCAACACAGAACAGCGGAAATCACCACGCCAAACAACACGATTGCCCACAACCGAAACACAAGTCAGATTTTATATAACAGTAGCTCTCGCGCAAACGACACCCACCATAACTCCAAAACTATACGTCTCGTGATATAACAGAACCTGTAATTACATTACAATTAATAAACCAAAACTAAACAGTAAAAAAACAAGACCTCACACCCAGAACGAACGGTTTATCCATAACGAAAATAAAACAATGCTCGGCGCAAGTGAACAACAGACGACAAACTTTAAACAAACGTTTCCAGGATTTGGTATTGAGAGAGAGGAAATCTAGAAGGAAAAGCGAATGAAGAGATGAAAACACTGTCAACACTAAATCCCATATTCAAAACCATAACACCATACAAAATGTAATGATAAACGGCATAACAACATTTGGCAACAAACAAGCATTACAACCATTTCTAAATAAGCAAGCTGTACACGTATAAAATGGTCAGTTCAAAAATATGACGACCAATATACCCTGACAGAATACTCACAAGAATGATTTCACAGGTCTTCGCAATACTGACTAGCTCCCTCCCTGTGCAATATTTGACTTCCCAAAATTCTGAGCGTCATCTCCCAAATATTTAACCCTTGTAATTCAGTAATATGAATTAACACTCAGGTAAACCAAAATATTACTGAAAACTCCAAAAAAAGAAAAAAAACAAAACGACGAAATTGCCATTACAGTAAAACATCCCTTAAAATGCGGTATAAACAGAAACAGTGCATCAGTTTTGGAAGCA